TTTTTCGATTTTTCGATTTTTCGATTTTTCGATTTTTCGATTTTTCGATTTTTCGATTTTTCGATTTTTCGATTTTTCGATTTTTCGATTTTTCGATTTTTCGATTTTTCGATTTTTCGATTTTTCGATTTTTCGATTTTTCGATTTTTCGATTTTTCGATTTTTCGATTTTTCGATTTTTCGATTTTTCGATTTTTCGATTTTTCGATTTTTCGATTTTTCGATTTTTCGATTTTTCGATTTTTCGATTTTTCGATTTTTCGATTTTTCGATTTTTCGATTTTTCGATTTTTCGATTTTTCGATTTTTCGATTTTTCGATTTTTCGATTTTTCGATTTTTCGATTTTTCGATTTTTCGATTTTTCGATTTTTCGGTTTTTCGATTTTTCGGTTTTTCGATTTTTCGATTTTTCGATTTTTCGATTTTTCGATTTTTCGATTTTTCGATTTTTCGATTTTTCGATTTTTCGATTTTTCGATTTTTCGATTTTTCGATTTTTCGATTTTTCGATTTTTCGATTTTTCGATTTTTCGATTTTTCGATTTTTCGATTTTTCGATTTTTCGATTTTTCGATTTTTCGATTTTTCGATTTTTCGATTTTTCGATTTTTCGATTTTTCGATTTTTCGGACGTCTCTCTTGCACCGTATAGTAATCAAAGTATGTGAAGAGGAGTGATTTGAATGGCTCGCTCCTGCTAGTATAGTTAACATTTTTACATTTTCGTCCAGTAAATAGCGTTTATGCACTCACCAAAACGTTTTCCTTGCAAATGTATTTCCAAATGACTTAGATCGAATTCCATAAAATTTCCACTTGTCAGGCTAAATGTTATTTCCCCACGTTATCCGGTGTTTCTGCACTACATCGGGAATAAATGGTGAATTGTTTGGCTAAAATATAGTCGAGATGAAATATGGCTGTTTCTTCTACCTTAATTGGCTATTTCGGTCGGAATCTCTTCGGAATTGCAATAACGTAATGAAAAAGCGTGAACCTTTTTATCGTTAAAAAAAAATTATTTTTTTTTCGGAAGTATGTTCCAAACTAACAAGGAAAAGCTTCAGATTTCTTGAATTATCTAAATGAGATTATTCAAAATATGTAAAAATTACAACTATATAAAATGTACCGAAATAAATATATTAGTATATTATGCAACGATCATGGTTATCAATACATGAGCATTAATCGGGATACGAAACGAGCCGAAGGCGAGTTTCGTATGGTTTATGCGAGTGTATTAATAAACATTACATGAGAGTTGCATATGCTATTTTGTCAATAATCAAGAACTATAAATATTATATTTATATTTGTATTGAACACAATAACAGTAATTACTCGTATTTCTATAAAAAATTCTACAAAATTGTAATTAATGGTATTACCTCGGGTATTAGTATTACCATAGATTTTTGAGGCAAAATATTTTGTACTGCATTTTCTGCTTTATCCGATATATGTGAAGGAGTCGATGGTAAGTCTTCTATATCGGTGATATCAGATATTTTGATAATATAATTATCGAAGTTTAGCTATCTACAAAAATTTAATAAGTACTGATTTTGACAACTAAAACAATTAAATAGTAACCTAGGACAAATGTCAAATGCACAGCATGCTTGATTGAAAAATTATGGGTTTCTATTGATTAAAAATCTATATCGTTATAAAAAATCTGTATCATAATGAGTATCATTATGAAACGGATTATGGGCTTATAAGTGCATTATTATAATATGGGTGTAAAAAAAATAAATTAATAAACATATCGCTGTATCTGTAAGGTGAGTAGGGTAGGTTGATTCACAGTTTAGGCCTCCAAGAGCATAAAGGGCCTGCTTCCATAGATAAATTAATATTAAAAGATAAACCATTTAAATGCACGGCACTGGTAACAAGTGGTTAGTTCCCGGCCATACTATTTGGAGCCACCATCGCACGCTACATAATTGGCTGATTAACTTGACAGTTAGAGTCAGCATAAAATTAAAAAGAAGAGTTTCAAGCCTAAACGCGGCTCATTCAAATGTCCTTTATTATTTATTTACATTTTTTGGCATTCATTACTTTAAAAAAACTAATATTTACATTAAAATACTGTATTTGACATAAATATTAGTTTTTTAAGTACTTCAAAAAATATAAATTAAAAATATATTAAAATATTTGAAACAACAGGTAGGTATAGTTTAATCATGTAATAAAATTAAGGTGCATTTAAAAATTTATTACACACATAACATGTACAAATAACAACTGTAAGTGAAATTAATAGTATTCTCCTCTCATTCTTGGAAAACTGGACCAAATTTTAATGCAGGTGTCAGGGGTTTCCTATAAAAACAAAAAAGTGTACATACTTACATCTTATTGAACAATTTTTCTTATCAAAATGTTACCCTTTCTTGGAAAAAAGTTATTTTTAATTTGTCTAAAATTAGTTTATAGAAAAAACTTTCAGTATATTTATCATAGTGCAATAGTCAATTTGAATTATATTTCAACTAATCTAGTTGATCTAACAAATTTAAGTAACAGTTTTCGCGAATTTTAATATCGGAAGAAAATTGAAAAAAGGTTTTATTTTAATAACCAGCCTGCTGAATATTAGAATAATACTTATTTAAATTAAGGGACTGCACTACTGCAATGGAAGCACTAATAGAACTCCCACCTCTTCACTATGTGATACAAGGGGAGGCAAGATTAGGTGCTTACAGATTAGGGAATACACTGGGAAATCTTGACATTAGGCCAGGTCACATGAGTATCTCAAGGTTAGTGACAGGAGACGTGCTAGACATGAGATCAGACCACTTAACCAAGAGGTACTCTTTTAATACTCCCTTTGAGGTTTTATTACAGGAAAGAGCGGAGATCACCATAAGGGAGCCCAATGCCCAACGACAGGAAGAAACCTGGTATACAGACAGGTCTAAGACTGCGGAAGGCACTGGGGCAGGAGTATTCTCCAAAAACCTTGATACTAACCATAGCTATCCTATAGGAATACATTCCTCGGTATTTCAGGCCGAGGTATACGCAATTTTGCAATGTGCAAAAACGAACAATGAAATAGCTGTCGAAAATCAGCATATTCAAATAATGTCATACAGCCAAGCGGCACTTAAGGCCATATCGAGTCAGAAAGTTACGTCGAGGCTGGTATGGGAATGCATCGAAGAACTAAGAACACTGGCAGACCGAAATAGAGTAAAACTATTTTGGGTGCCAGGTCACAAAGGGATCGAAGGCAACGAAAAGGCTGACGAACTTGCAAAAAGAGGGTCAGAAGAAACACCGAAACCAGACACAAACCCAGGAGTACCAAAAAGTACAGTCCGGGGTTTTATAAATGACTGGATTCGGGAACAACATATCAACTATTGGGGAAGCACCCCAAAACAGGCACATGGAAAAGCCTTCATAGGCAGACCATGTCCCAAAAGAACTGGAGAACTACTCTTAATGAATAGGAACCAGTTGAAAGTGATAACAGGGTTCATGACTGGGCACGCCCTAGTAAAGGGACACTTAAACAAAATTGGCATGTACAATGGGGAACTCATGTGCCGACTATGTCACAAGAAACCAGAAACAGCCAAACACATACTGTGCGAATGCGAAGCTCTAGATCGCAAAAGACAGGCTCTTTTTGGACAACCCTAGGTTGATCCAACAACGTATAGAACCCACTCACCCAAGGATCTGTACAAACTTGTACAAGGTACAAAGGTGATAGAGTGGGTGCTATGAACTAACATGGGGTAAAACACAATAAGCCAATAGACTTCAGTGTTATTCGGAGACACATAGTCAGACGAGCCCAGGAGAAAAAAAAGGGGACTGAAAAAGATTACTTAATTTTACCCGGGCCAGACATGTTTTGTTACAAATAGGTATATTAAAAAAGAATTGAAAATCAATTCAAAATGAAATTATACTTCGTTAAGGCTATAAGAAAACAATAATAAACAAAGTTCTTAAACAAATCTAATACCTTATTAAAATAAATTGTTAATACTTACTAATTACATCAAATCAGCACTTATCAATCTTCTTAAAACCTAAAAATAACTTACCTATCTATGGAACTATATCCCATTGAAGTAGGATAATTATGTCCACTACATTCTATATCATAATAACTTTTATTTTATGATGGTAATTGTGGGTTTTTCGACCATTTTGCCTTCCGCCATTACGTTTTTCATTTTAAACGAGGTTATCAACACAGTTGTCAAATCTATCTTTACAATATCCCAGCAATAGTATGGCCATTGTATGGATGGTATCGAGCACGAGAAAAACAAAATAAGGTGCAGCTTATGCGTTTGAAATAACTCTAATCTCATGAAAGTTTATGGAAACTGACAACATCGCGTCATCTTATTTGCGACGGTGGCTCCAAGTAGTATGGCCGGGAACTAACCACTTATTACCAGTTCCGTGTATTTAAATGGTTTATCTTTTAATATTAATTTATTTATGCCTGCTTCCCAACTTGTGTAATAATAGTATATTACGTAACAAGAGTTGTAAGTAACCCATTACGCACGAAGTAAAAAAGTTTACGCACAAAGCCGCGCAGCGGCGAGTGCGTAAATTTCACGAGTGCGTAATGGGCTTACAACTCGTGTAACGTACCATACTTTTTCTACGCCCACGTATTTTCTTCTATTAAATAAAAGACATATGCTTATGTTGCCAATTCATAAATTTTCGATGGTTAATTAATTATTTTATTACTAAACCTTTATATTTAAAATTCTCATTTAATCTTATATACCCCCTATCATTCACCTGTTAGGAACTTACCTTTTTTTAATCCAATCCTTTCGTTTTTAGAAACTCGGTATTAGAAATAAGTATTGAACTTGATACTAACCGTAAATGATAAAATTTCCTATGGGCTATTTAAACAGTATAACTCTTATTGCTAATTATTAATCTTTATGTTTTTATCTGCTAAACTTAGTAATTTTTTTTAAGGTACCAACCCATGACGCAATAAATGGACACCTTTATTTCAAGTTCAATATTTATCATCAAGAAAATAACACCAAAACGCAATCATCGCTAAGACACCCAAAGTAAGTATTAAAACTATACAATTAAAATGTATATTTTAAATTTTATTGTCTTGCCAAAAATGTCTATTCACAGAATTATAAAAGTGGCTGAAATAATTTGAATATTCGGAAACAAATCTCAACAATTCCCTTAAGAATTATTAAGATCATCCCCAAACCCCAAAGATGAAAACAAATACTTGTAGATTTGAAAAAAAACCTGTCGTCGCCGGGGATCGAACCCAGACATCCATGTACTGCGGACATGTGCTCTAACCTATAAACCATCAACGAGAGTGGGTTCGATCATCTCGAACAAGTCGTTTAATATAATTGAGGTATAGATCAGTCGAATTAACTCATTTAAATGGAAAATATATATTTTTTTTAATGTGTGAATGGTAAAGGGGATTATATTAAATAAAAAAAAAATAGTGCAACCTGGGGGGGGTTGAAATAAAATTTTAGGTGGTTGAAAAAGGTGAAAAATGGTATAATCAGGATGTCCGGCTAAAGTTGACGTCAAAAACACTCCCCGCTCTTGACTGCTAATGTTCTCTACAGTACTATAGTTAGTAATCACACAAAAATTTGATTACCCGCTAACACGGCCAAACTGATCTATATTTCGCTCTCGCAATATTCTCTTTTTTATGTAAAGACTGGTTATTAGTTTGTCATTATCATTTATACAAATATTAAACAAAAGATGTATCAAATAAAAATAACAAAATTACAAGATCAGCCGCCAATTATTTCGAAAAAGTTTTCTGCTCATCATTTACAATTCACATTTTTTAATTAATATATTTAAAATAATTTTAAAATTAAAGCTGTGCTCCTCGGATTTCAACAACATCCCCAGCATTTTCAAATATTTTACTGACCTATACTTAACTTTTTTTTACTCACAAAAGCAAAAGCTTTAAATGGACGTTCAGAGGTACTTCTCAGATATTTAACTGACCTGTACTTAACTTTGTTACTAAATAAAAACAGTCTAGAAGTTCAAAGGTACTCCTCAGGGATTGAGCTGACCTGTACTTGACTTTCTGGTGACATGAATACAACGTTAAGTTCAGAGGTACTCCTCAGGGATTAACCTGACCTGTACTTGACTTTCTGGTAACACGAAAACAACATTAAGTTCAGAGGTACTCATCAGGGATTAAACTGACCTGTACTTAACTTTCCGAATGGTAGAATTAACAGTTAATGGTAATTTGGAAAAAGAGCTCGTCCATTCTGACATATTTCGAATTTCAACAATTAATAAATTAATTATTGTTACAACATACCTTTCAACTTGCCCAGTAGCGCCACTGCTATAATTTAATGACGCCTAATATTTATATTTACGAATCAGGATTTTTTTATGGATAAAATTAGTTCCAGGGTTAATTATAATACGTGCCAAACATTGTTATATAATTCTCTAATGTTTTAGTCATTTCTGCTCTGGTTACCGTTTTTTTAAGGGTATAGAATTACATATCTCGTAAAAGCATTGACAATAAATAAAGCGAGTTTAAAATCATCTGTGGTTATTTGTTACTTTAAACTACGGCTCAACACAATCAATAGTAATTGCATAAAACGGAATATTTATTTTAAAGCAAGTTTAGATATAATTTCCCAAACCTTTTCTTTTCTCTTTTCCGACAAACGGTACGTGTGATAATTAATGACTTGCTCACTAGATATCTTTATTTTTAACTCGGTGTATTTATTGATGAATATTTATTTTCAAACTTAAACAAATTTAACAATAAATGTTTAAGTTTCTCTGCGTTTTGTTTTTCTAAGCTTTTTTTCTCCGCCGGTTATTGATAGAAATAATATAAATTCCTTTTAATGAAGAAAACATTTTTTTCTTATCGAATTTCTGACAAAATTCAAAATTAAACGACTGAAAATATACACACTATCTGTCCAAAATAGCGAAGTAGACCACTTCTAAATTGGCCACATCATAAAAACAAATTTTGAAACCTATACCATTGCATTCAATTCTTAATGGTATTTTACTATTTTTAAAAGTTACGGTGCGTACTCCTTTTAACGTTATCAGTGCTCTAAACTACAATTGGAAGTTTTTGCCATTCTACATTTCTCTCAGGTATCTATCGTATAGTTGAATTATAAATTTATTCAAAAAAAAAACTATCAAAATCAATAAATAATATAATTCATTCTAGAGCTTGATGGTTGGTAAGTTTCTTTTTAAAACAATAAGCTCCATAGTGGCAATTTTTTTTTCAAAACACCGTGTTTCAAATGAATACCACCAATATCCCCAATAACAATCTCAAAACAATTATTAGTCAACTGACAAAGAACCCCGCACAAATCTTATGGAAATTGGCTCCCGGTCAAATTGGCTGAAATTTGGATATGTTGTTTATTTCGGCATCCTGAGCAAAAGTTTCAAAGGGCACAAAGCTCAATTTTGCTTATTTTGACTTCTACGGAGCTCCAAAGCTCCACGGATTGACCATTATTTACTACTTAAAAAGGTAATCTCCTCGAAAGTTTGGTATTTGTTGCATTAAAAATGAAGTACCTTCTTATGTTTTCGGGGTCGCTGCATTCAAATCCTATGCCAATATTATAATATTGACGGTTTACAGCTGTCAACTAGCTGTCAAATAACAAGCCTACAGCTCGGGACGCAAACATCACCTTGCGTGAATAATGGCTACCATAAATTGCTCGTTTAATAATATACTATTAATTCCTAAACACAGAAATGAATAATGTCTCAACAGGATACAATAATTTGTTTATCTAATTTTTATTGTATTTGTTCGTATACTGTTATTGAAATCTGAAATTAATATTTGAAATCTAAAATAAACTAAAATATGTTTGCGTTGTCAAAACTTCCTTTGTGTTCGTCCGCTAAAATGAGTTTGAGGGGCCACAGTTCCCTTTATCCGTTCTTATTGGAATTGAAGATATTGCGTAAAAGAACAAAATGAAATCCGGAATGGAAGCCCGTATTTTAAAGCATTTAACAAGATGAAGTCGGTTTATATACGTATATAGTAGTGGTTGGATCCTGTATTCAATTCAATTTATTTGATTTGTTTCTAAAACACTGAAAATGTACACGAAATATAAAATTCGATTAGGTAGGTATTTGTTGCAGTCTTGGCGTTGTCTGTATATAGATGTTATGTGCGTCTCATAACCATTATCTCATGTATTAAATTACAAGCGATAACAACTTCTTTTCTGAAAAACAGATCATGTAACAGCATTCGCAGAATGCAGCGTAAATACAACTGCACTTCTGCTAATGCTGAGATCAGCATATGCAACTTTATATAGGGCCGAATTTAACGTATTATAATTAGTCTTAAACTGACATTTATACAAACACCTTGTATTTACTTTTCAATATATTCTTTACCAAGTACTAATTACCTTTTTTACTTTCCTATCTGTATACAGATAAGGAAAGTATAGGAATCATGACGTGTGTATGTGTGCGTGCGTGCGTGCGTGTGTGTGTTTGTGTGTGTTTGTGTGTGTTTGTGTGTGTTTGTGTGTGTCAATGTGTCTGTATCCACGATACCTCATGAACGGATATAAATTTAAGCATTATTCCGGCCTACGGTGAACTGATTAGATTTTGGGCAGAGTCGAAACATCTGGGGGGGAAGTACTTTATAAGGGGTCATTTTTATATTTTATAAAATATATCTGCTATTTACGTTTGGAGAAGAAAAATCTTCAAATAAAAGTTACTTCTTAAATTATTCTCTATAATTTTTGTTATATAGAAAATTTTCCTAAAATGGTCCGTATTCGAGAAATTCGACAAAATGTAAAAATTCAAATTTTCAGGAAAATTGTTTAGATATAAGTTATTTATAATATAATTCTCTATAATTCTTGTCCTATACATAATTTCTCTAAAATATACCGTATTCGAGATATTTGAGAAAAAGTGTAAAGCTCAAATTTTTAAGAAAACTCAAAAACGGATAAAGAGAAAATCAATAAATTTTAAACTTAAGCTTTATTTCGGCCTGAGGTGAACTTATTAGATTTTGGGCAGAGTCAGAACATCTGGGGGTACTTTATAGGAGGTCGTTTTTATTAGTGATGCCGCGAGACGAGAGATTCTCGTCTCTCGTCTCGTCTTGTCTCGTCTCGTACGAGACGAGAGAGACATTTTCTCTCGAAAAAAGATTCGAGACGAGACGAGAGAGTGTCATCTCTCGACGAGAATTTCTCGTTTCTCTCGAGCTCTCTCGAGTTCTCTCGCGCAGTTAACTTTTTATTTCTTTAAAATTTTCAATTACTTATCGTAACTTAAAATTTAAAAATATCAGATTTCCAGACAGTCAAAAAGTTAACTATAAAACACCTATTCTATATACACAGTGACTTTTAAGAATGGAACGTCTCAATTATCTTGGAAAAGACTTGCACGATTTATATTTATGGTGACCCGTCAAATGCGCCCCGAAAAAAGCGCTCCGACAAAAGCGCCCCGACAAATGCGCTTCCCGACAAAAGCGCCACCCGAAATTTCTTTGTATAATTTTTAACTAACCAACGGACGGAATCGTAATAATTTCCATGCAGTCAAATTTTTCGGAGGTTACTTTTGGAAATAAATTAGAAAGATAACAATTTTTAAGTGTTTTTTCGAAAAACTATCAGAAGAAAAAGTAAAATAAACGAACATATAATATATTGTTAACATGCTTTTAAATGCTTTCATTTGATATCACACAAAAAAAATTCTAACTTTCAAATGAAACCCTACCCCCTCCCAACTGACTTCTAAGACAAAGTATTTATCGCAGGGACAGAAGTTGGAAAGTCTTTAGCTAGTTCTCTTACTTCATACACATAACTTGACAGGTTTGCGGCAGATCTAACCGAAGTGGACGCGATATATTGGCGTACAAAGTTATTTTTTATATGTTAATAACAATTTCGAGTAAATAGTTTAATAAATTGTGAATAGCTGTTGATTTGGGTATTATAATACATGTTTAATA